AGTCGTCCCAGGGTACGTAGACCTTGGGCAAGTCACTTAACCTCTGTGACCCTCTGGTTTCTCGTCTGTAAAATGGGGAGAGGGATATTCCCTCTGCAGGACTGTGCTAAGGCTGGAGATTTCACATCCCAAGCTCAGTGACTGGGGGCTCTTACACCCTCCTCCCCACAGCTCTCCCCAAGGGGAGACACTGACCCCCTCCAACTGTCAAGGACGACGCTAATCAGCTGCTAGGCACCAGCCCCACTAGAGCCCCCAGGCATCCTCACTGGCTGGGGCTGGTCCACACCTGGGGACAGGAGCCCAAGTGCTTCCTTGCAGGGCTAGGTGCAGACTCAGAGACCACAGGTGGACCAGGCTAGTGATGGAGGGATGGCCTGGGGCTCCCACCAGGAGCTACTGGGTGCAGGGGTGGGGGGCTGCATTTTCATAGGCCTGCATTTGGATGGACCACAGGCACAGCACGACTCCAGGGGGCACCACTAGGTCTGTGCAGAGGAGGGGAGGGGAGGGCAGCGGGGGAGGGGGAGAGGAGGGAAGAGGTGAAAGGGAGGGGGAAGAGAGAAGGTGAAAGGAGGGAAGGGCAGAGGAGGGGGCCCCCTGGAGGCTTCCTGGACAGAGTGGGTCATGCCCTCAGCAACCTGGGAATAAGGCCATCTCCCCACCTCCCAGGCGGCATGACTTTCTGCATTTCCACCAAGGAGGGGCTTCTGGGATAGAAGGGGGAAAAGTGGTGAGATTTGAGCCGTCCCTATCCCTCCTGAGGGCCTGTCTGCTCCCCACACACACACTGGAAACCTTTTTGGGACCAGAAGTCCCAGGTGGGGGCAACCTGGCCTTTCACAGGACAGTGGCCTGCACACAATCCTGGGACTCACGCTTCACACCTGGGCTGCAAGGGGGCAGGTGGGCTGGAGGCAGGTGGGTGAGGCAGGGTGCCCCAGGCCAGCCCAGCCTGCAGGGCCTGGGCGAACCAGTGCCAGAGGCGATTAGAGCCATAGGTTGGCGGGGGGGCGGCGAGGAGGGAGGTAGGTGTCTGGGGAGGAGGACTCTGTGGCTCTTCTCCAAGGAGTCTTCCTCTGGTAGCTGGGAACAAATGCCCCTGAGCCTCCCTCTGCCTCCAGGCCCTGCCTTCCTGAGGAGCCCTTTGCTCTGCAGTCAGCCAGGGACATGGGTGGCCTTGGAGGTGGGGGCTACTTAGAAACGGTTATAATCCTTGATTGGTGAGTTTAACATAGCCATGCCCAACTAGCAGGGTTTGCCCGGAGACCCCACGTCCACACCAAGGCTCCCCGCCACAATGGTTGTTTCTGCGGGGCATCATTAACTCCAGACACCCCCCTACCCCAACTAGCCGGCCCCTCAGACTTACTGAGCTCTCCAGGGTGAGGGCTCTGGGAATGGCAGGCAGAACAAGCTCCCCTCCCTTCTCAAAGCCACCCCTAGCCCACCCCTCCATGGCTTCTAGGGGCAGTCAAGGGGAGGATCTGAGCCCCCCCCCAACATTCCGCTGTGCTTCTGCGCAGCAAAGTCCGCCTGGGGCCAGGCCTCCAGATCCCTCCCCTCCCCCACAGTCCCTCCTCGGCCACGAGGGTGCTATTCACATCGGATGGTGTGAGCCAGGAGCCCAGCAAGTTTCCCACACTTTGGCCCCATTCATAGTGTTAAACGGCCCACAAAGGCTGGGCGTGTGCCTCAGAGGCCTCCGGAGCCTTGGCAGGGCAGCCATCTGGCCCGCACCCGGGGAGGGAGCAGGCCTTTCATCAGGCCAGACAGCCGCCCCCGCCCCTGACCGCAGTCCGCAGTCCGGACAGGATTTAACACCATTCATTTCATATTTCCCACAATCGAAAATTGGATCAAAGCTGCTCAGTCCAGGGGAGGGAGGAGAAAGAGGGAGGCCACAGCCCCCTCTGCCCACCCGCCACCCTCACCCTGGCCACTGCGGGTGGGCAGGCGGGTGGTGGGGTGAGAGGGGTTGGACTGCTCCAGGCACGTGTCTCATTTGGCCGTGGAGCCAGCTGGGGGAGTGGGTGGGACACTAGCCCCAGCCAACTGTCTCTTCCGATGCCTGGGTGGGGGGCACAGAGCCCCTGCCTGGGTGCCACCCCCCAAATCTGGGCCCAGCTCTGGGGCCCTGCTGCCAGCAGCCCAGCAGTCATGGTACACATGGGCTCTGTCTCCATCCCCAGTTGGTAGAGACTGTGGCCAGGGCTGGCCTGGGCTCAAGACCCACCCTCGTCCCTGCAGTCCCACCCAGCTCTTGCTTGGCTAAGTGCCTACTTGGTGCTGGGCCCTGGGCTGGCAGGATGTGGGCGATGGGGACACAGGTGACTGTCATCCTGCCCACCCCAGCCCCAGCCAGCCCACAGGGAGCCCCCAACCATCTGGGACAGACACAAAGCATGATGGCCACCCGGCATGAGCCCCATTTGGGCATTCCTTGGTGCCCTTTTCAGCCCAGGGTCGCTGGCCTGCCCCAAGGCTGTCATGATATGAGAGCCCAGGGCTGCCCGAAGGCTTGGCATCTCACCTCCACGCTGGGTGTCCTTTGCCCTTGTGCATCAAACAGGGGCCACATGTCCATGGGAGGGTTCCATGTGCTCATGGAGGAGCCCCCAGCTCTGGCGAGGTACCCCAGCCCTCAGCTTCGCCTTCTACCACAGCCAACCTGGGGCCTGTGTCCCCTTCAAGGGAGGTGCTGTTGGGGACAGGATGGGAGAAAGGGTGAGGAGGGGATCCCTCCCCTCCGCCTTTAAAGTCACCTGGAGGTTCCACTCCAGGACTCCCCCGTTCCCAGCCTAACCCATCCCAATGGGGGACCACTTGGTCAGTCGTTCCGCTGACACCAAGCAAAGCCCCACTCTGGTGTCCTGGCACTGCCCTACCCCCTCCCCTGATGGTTCCACTGCTAGGTTCCTTGTGCTGAGGACATCTGGAGCCACATTCACCTAACAGGCCACGCATAGCTGTGAGTCACTGCCAAGATCGGGCCTTTGTTTGTTGCTGATTGCCACTGAGTCAATCCCGACTCATGGTGACTCCATGTGTGCAAAGTAGAACTGTGCTCCATAAGATTTTCAAGACTGTGACCTCTCAGAAGCAGATTGCCAGGTCTGTCTTCCAAGGTACCTCTGGCTGGGTTCAAACCGCCAGCCTTTCAGCTAGTCGTCAAGCACATAACTGTTTGCACCACCTAATTCCCAGCCACATCTGGACAAGGCTGCTGTCCATGGAACTGTGCCTCTGGATTTAAACTCTGGCTAAAGTGCCTGACACCAGGCCCTGGTCCCATGGGCTCCAGGCCCTGCCTTCCCCTGGGCCCTGGCTGGGTCCCACCTGCCCCTTCTCCACACAGTGCTGTGGAGGAGGGCGGGGGCG